GAGAATATTGTAAAATCATCCCTCTAGTATGTAATTATTACATTTCAAAACACTAATCACATGTCGACACACCGCTATCTTCGTAATAATAACGAGGACCAACACGTACTAATCAAACTCACATTTTAACGGCTAGGTGTAAAGAAGAAGACGAAGAAAAAGAAACGGTTTAAAGATCAAGCACCGATTGTTGCGATGGACCAGACTACTATCCGCGACAGCTGGGCAGCAAGAACTAAAGATAGACTAAATGATGTTGTAAATCAAAAGTTTTTCAATTTACCGTAAGAAATATCGCATTAACTATAAATGTCTATAATATTGTATAGGCAGTCGGTCCCAGTTGGATCGCCTTCGTTATACACGATGACGTAATGAGCTACTGAATTCAAGTTCTGGAGCCGAAAATTATACGAACGTCAAACAAATATTCCAATTAAATTTAAAATCGGTCATTCAGGACACTACATGGGTCATTAGTTTAAAAAATTCATGGGGTTATCAAGACAATTGCGAAAAGCTGACCATATGCAAGCTCGACTGGAAAACTGCGGGAGATTCCGTAACAACATAAAAAGTTTAATGAAGTATGCAATTTGTTTGAGATGTTTAATGATTATAGGCGACAGATACTTCTTGAAACTCATCCTTAGCACAAAATTGGGATGGAGGATATTTTTTTATCTGAAGAAGTGATTTTGTTAAGAAAATACAAATATATGTCTGCTATGCAAATTAGACACTCTGCGGGTATATCTATACTCATCATATTATATAGTACGAGAGTGTACGCGTGAATATGTGCTAAGACAAAGGGCGCAACTGCGGTATGTAAGCAGTTTCTGGAAAAAGGAGTTGCGCCGTTAAGTCTCATAGTTTTCCGGTGTGTAGTATAAGAAGCCACGGTAATAAATGAAAAATTTTTCATGTAAAACAATTTCATTTGGTTGATAAATAATATTAAATATAAAAGTGCGTTTTTGATTTTTTCTTAACAGATTTTAAGATTGTGTCTAGTATCTGCTACTCTTTTTTTCCTATTCTGACTCAATTTTCGCATTTCCTAAAAACTAACACAAAATATCCCACATCAATCTTGTTCTATTTCACTCCTGCTTCTATTTTTAATACACCTGCCTTTAACCAATCCTTCATGAATCAGAAGGTCTCTCACTATTCTATTTCTACTTTTCCGAACTTATTCGATATCACTGAAACATGAAATTTTAACGGTAGAAAACAATTTACATAATTAATCAATAGTATTTACATGACTACGATAATGTTCCACAATTATTAATAGCAGACGTAGTTCATTAACATATTTAATCGCTGTATAAATATAATTAGAATTTAATCTTAATTATACCTACATCAACAAGACTGACCCTTAAAGTTTGAATTTTTCGAAGAAAATTGGCAACTATAATGTACATAAAGAGTCTCTACACTAAGGCAACTCTTAAGGACTTGCTCGTTTATGTACAATAGATACTATTAAGATAGGATTACATAATTCAAAAGATAACAACATAATTAAGTCATATGTCTATTTAGGTCCGTAGGGTTTATTAAGCGTGAAATTGTCGCCCACTAACGTCCCGATTATTATATCATTCGTTATAAATTAGTTGTTTCTCAATTAAGCATTATACACTATCTCATATCGTAGACATACCCAGATTTATTCATCGAACCGTATAAGGAGGTGCAATGGCATAATTTTTTAGCGTTGCAAAATTTTATTACACCAGAGTGCACACACATAATGCCCGTTTGTTTACGATAATTGTTGATATAACTTCTTGCCATACGTATTTATTTTAACAACAGGAAGTGCTTAATAAGTTCAAAGTTATCAATACCTTTCGCTTTCTTCCACAATATCAAAACTATTAACAGAAACTTATGGCCATAATAATTACGTAGATGTAAGTAATTATATATAAATTACAAAATTTTCTAATAACTAATTCCTGGATATTTATTATTTGTCAATAAACATTAGTGATAGTAATGGTGCATTCATTTGAGACAGTTTATCAAAATCAAAATTAACATATCATATAGAGTATATATATAAATCAAATACACGCTTTTTAATACTAAATATTATGTTCCAACTGTATTTACTTACAGTAAACTATTACTTGGTTGCTACAGTAAATTATTACTGCAAACAAAAATTATTTATTTACGAAATGTATCAATTTATTGGTCATTTTTTACATTAGTTGACATTGGAATTGAGACATGAAGTTTAGTCAGGTAGGTAGTACTCACCAAGTAGAATCGTGTGGTAGCATTAATTCCGTGCGGAAACCAATATAGCTTGAGATACAGGCTCCTAAAGTTATTTAATCGGAGGAAATTTCGATTGGTACGGCCCTGGCTGCAGCCCTTCGTCAGCTGTTCTCGCCTAATATGCATTGATGACGTCATTGTTTACTTAGGTAGATGTAAGACAGACTGGAGTTTGTTTAATGTCCCTGCCCGCCGAAGGCGGGCTGATACATTAGAATAATGTTAGGAAGATATGTTTTAGGACAAACGATGTTTGGCGGGAACAGCTGACGAAGGCTGAAGCCAGGGCCGTACCTACCGGAATTTCCTCCGATTACGAAAACTTTAAGGACCTGTATCTCACTCACATTGATTTTTAAACAAATAATAAACAAAATTCTAGTAAATACTACTACACTACTTTACTTGGTGAGTACTACCTACCTGACTAAACCTCATGTCTCAATTCCAATGTCAACTAATGTAAAAAATTACCCTACAATTAAATATCCTTATCAAAAATCAAAAGTTTTCGTGACGATCCCACAAAACACCGAACCGTGTCCAATTCAGTTAAACTACTCACAGACGACGAAAGTCAATTATTATTGATATAGAAAGTCGTTGGCTGAAAATACTGCTCGTTACTTTATGTGGGTACCTGTCTTTCACACATGTGATTCTACGAATTACTTTCAATTAGCCAAGTGACGCGCAATGTAAACTTTCAGGCAGCAGCAAAAAAAATTAATGAGAAATCTTCGGAACGGTTCAATGATACTTATGATTAGAATGTTTTCTGCGATATGACAATGAAGACTGACGATAAGTTGAGTCAGTGATACGGTTACTTCACCGGCAAAGCAACAACAATAATAACATAACAACAACACGGTTCACATTCAGAAAAGAAGACCGAGATCGGCCGATTCGACCAAAGCGAAACTGTAAAACCTCGAGCGTGCGCCAGCAAAACTAACCAACTTTACACGAAGGAAGAGAGAACGTGAAAGCTCTCAGAATGCACCTCGTGATGAGGATGATAAGCCTCGGCGAATCTTCTTCATTTTAAATACTGCAACTAGTCAGCGTGTTCAAAGTAACGGACATGGTCAGTGGACATTGTTTATTTATAAAACGCTTGACAGCAATTGAATTTGAAATATTTTACATAGAAACGCATGATAAAGAAAATTTACCGCAAAGCAATCTAAATATAAACACACATATCTCACCATTGCGGAATTCTGGGGTTTCCACAGTATACCAATTAATTTGAATGGGCAAATGACATAGAAAAACAAAATAGTGCAAAAAGTCAATAAGATGCTCTAAAAACCAACAAAATTAAAGACAAAACAATTTTACAAAACGGACAAAAACATTAACAATTTTCGTTTTCTTTTACTTCTATAATATAATTACCTAATTGTAATTGAAGATTAACCGCAGTATATAGAAGTACTTGATTTTATCTGTTTTATACCCTATACCTTTATTTTATATGTCTTGTCAATTGCTGTAATAACAAAAGCACCAAAAGAGAAAAAACGTTTTGCGTAAATATAATGGATTTGATAATCTGATAATTAAAGTTATTGTTTTACTAATTCGCAACATTTCTCATAATCTCTTATTAATTTTAAAGATAACCGTATCAAAATCGGTGAAACACTTCTCGAGTTATAATTTTTTTAAGTTGAGTAAATCAAAATTGTAATTTATCAATTAATAAAAAGTGAATGACCTCTCTTTTACATCCGCATTTTTTGCATTCCACGCTAGGCGCCAGGAAGCCATGCAGGTGTAATTGACCTAATTTCCTATTGGTTGATAAATTGACGCGGGACGCAATAACCAATCGGATGCACGAATGGGCTTTTTATCAATGGTATTATGCAGTTTGAAGTTAGTAACCCGTGGTGCTTAGGAGGGTGTACATGGCTCCGTTAAATATTGAGAAAAATTACGTAAATTGTGCGAAATATTCAAATGTAACTATTGATTATATTTGCTATTTTAGAATAGTGATTAAGACAACAAGTCACACAGTGGTAAAGATCAATTAGAGAAACTTTAAAAATATATTTCTTTTATAATCAACAAAAAATCAAGCCTATAATAGTAAACTGTAAAATTTATAGACTGTGGTTTCACAATCAATAAACCCTACACCCCTAATTGCCATAATTATTTTTCTTTATTACAGTAGTAATTCCCAAGAAAGTAAACACTGTTATTATTAATTTGGATATTTATAAAAAACTGTTATCTCCATTGAAGCAAAAGATATTTTTGACCTAGCAACAAAATCGATAATTTGCAAAACCAATGATTAATAAACAATAAATCTATTATTTTTTGTGGCTCTTACTCTGAATTAAACGTTAAATACTAGCAATGTTAGTTAATAGACTGTTAATACTTATGGGGAACACATTCAAAGTCTCCACTTTAGCAGCTGACTTTATAAAGTAGATTAATTGTATAGTTCATATGACAAACTACAGCCTCGAGTAGCACAGGAAAGATATTTTAAGTACTTAGTTCATTATTTTTAAATATAGCAGACAACTGTCACAATTCATCCACAAATAGCCTTTTTCGATTTCCTCTTACAGGCTACCTGTCTCGACCAGGCAAATTGGGGTAGCAAATGTGCTAACAGTAGGTACTTATCATATAAAAATTGAATTATGAAATGAAACTCAGCTCACCTTCTACATGAAATTGCAATTCAGACTTATGCTATTAAAAGCATAAGCAACGTATTGGGACTTGTTGACACACTAGAGTACATGAATAACATTTTGCGTAGGTTATCACATAAAAGAACTATAATTCGACCGAAAAAGAAGATTACAAACACCCACTACTGAATCGAGTATTAACACTTGCACGATTTACAATTTTTCGAAGAGAATTATGAACCGTTGACATTAAATCACGCAATAATTTAGAAACACATCTTACTCATTTCACGTAAATTCGACAATTTTAAGGGAGGTTATGTTCAGCTGTTTGACACTAATTCATATGAAGCTAGGCACAAATGAAATTCATTGAGACAGAAAATCAATAGAGTGTTCAGCGGGAACTAGACGGCAGTTCAAACTTATGTCCCCTGCAATAGAAATTCCTAGAATTAGGAGAGATAATTAGAATTATCTATTTAGAATGCGAACATATTTATTTATGCCGTTTTGCCATTCCAAATAGAAATTAGATTAATATTACGAAACAAATTAAATACAAATATCTTGTACTTTTGTCGTTTGTGAGGGTCAAGATATGCTACGTGAGTGCTAGGGCGTATAGCGGGTTATCTAAGACAATTTTTTATGTACAGGGTGCTCGAATTGTAGGACTCACTATTTTATGTCCTGTTTTCTCTTTTTTAATGAATAGCACTTCACTTTTAGGACGAAACAAAAATATTATTAATAAAAATTTATTTTTACTGATATGTCACTGTGACAGTTATTTGCAAAAGTATTATTATATAATATATATAACAAATAAATCACAAATCATTATTGCAATTAATAATCATAATAAATTTACTAACATACATGTTTAGGTGCCACGTGCAGTAGATACCACTTAGAATGATGGAATGTTTTTAATAAAAAGAGGAAAAAAACAAAAATGATAAAATTAGGCACGAATAATATCAGAGACATTAAGAACAACTGCTTAGAGTGTTCTGCTACTAGATGCTTACATTTTCTGCCCTCTAACTACTTTTTTTATTAAGCTTTAAACAGTCTAAGTAGCTGTAAAATATTGTACGTTAATTATTATTACATCTTTGTTTTGCTTTTTGCAAACAACTAAACCTTTGCACTGGGGAAAATGCAAAATTATTTTGTTTTCGTTGTATTTTTGACCTTTTCATTAAAACTTTTCTAATGAACTAACCGTCAGAATTACCTAAAAGAAATTAATGTGTCGTAAAATTCTCGCAATTTTAGTTTAATTAATTTTTATAGATTATAATTTCAAATCCTTTTGAATGGGTTTTCTAATATAAAACATTTATTTGCATATCCCCCCAACAACTCGTACGGCTTAGAACTTTACAAAAGTTAAAGTTTATAACATTTGTTAAAGATAATTAATAATAAATGCATTATCAACAGTAACCAGAAATTTATTTTAATGACCTAGTTCGTCGTTGAAATGGTAACATAGTAAAAATAGACACTAGTAAAGTAGAGGATCTATTTAACTTGAGAAGTTTTTCGTTATTTATATTTTTATATTTTAGAGAAAAATCTGCTTTTATAATAATAAATTAGTTAGGTACGAAGGTTATTGTTTAAGTTATTAAATTACCCTGTTAGAATAACGCGATAATTTATCATAACTTTATGTAATGTTGAAGAGAAGACACATTTCAATATAGAATAATCTCATTCGTTGATTGCTTCATTAAAATTTTGTCTTCAAGTTTTATTGCCCTTTGCGGTTTTTATTATTTCCCTTCATTTAAATAAAAATTAAACCGAAAAAGTCGTTGAAAACAATACCAATAGTTTTATCTATGTTTGTTATGCATTATTTCGTGAAATACTATACACGCTCTCAAAATATTTTCAAATAAGTTTCAATTGACTAGTAATAGTATCTTATTAATTCCACGCTAATAAATACTTAATAAGATTGGTACCTACACATTGTCTTGCCTTATTGTGCTCTGTGTTAGAAAAATTTAATTTCAAGTGAAATTTTAGGCCCTATTATTATGTACTTACATAATCATCGTCATTATCTCAACTTGAAACGAAAAAAATTTGCTGGCAGTGCTAAACATTCAGCGTCATTTCTATAACTTTTTCTTTTTGGTAACCGTTGGAGAAAAGAGTTTTCTAATTTTAACAAGTTTCAAAGCTTATTACAAGAACACAAAAAAAGTTAAGCGTATTTTCTTGAAGATCCATATGCAGTAATCATTCATCATAAGCTTCAGAGTGGCACATAAAAATTATAACGTTCTAGCAAAGTTACATTCAATAATTCTTTGTTTAATTACGCTCTAGGTACTATATTTATAGCAAAATACTATAAATAGTTTAATTACGAATTAATCGATGTTGATTTTCAAAATTTTAAAAAAATAAAAAGACTTAGTTTGATCACTACTTCTTAAGTAAGAAAGCATCAAGTTTGATTTATAATTAGTTTAATTTAAACAACTTTGCACGATGTTTTCCTTTTTGGTCAGTTCAATGAGTATATTAAAAATATTATATATTATTCAAATCAATATTATTGATTCTGGTAGTATATGACTTGCTTGCGTATCTATTAAAAGAAAGGATAAATAAATGGGGAAAATAAAAATATATTTTATCATAACACAGCACCACTCTGATTCCTAAAAATATTATTATTATTATTATTATATCCATCTTTATCGAAGCTCCTAATAAATGTACATTTTGCAAGTGTGAAGGCTGAGAAAGAGAAGAAAGAGAGATAAAAAATAATAAATACTTACCTCCCTATCTATTAATACGTACAAAATACAACGTAACATTTAAGCTTCTTTTTTTATCACCCTGTGTTCTATATACATACATAACTCCTATGTACTTGATCCCTCTATGATCTAGAAACCATCCGTTTTCGCTAAAGCTACGTCGGGGCATATCCCAGATTTTTTCTTTGCAAGAATAAATGAATTTCTCTAAACGTCGGCCTCGATACGTCCCTGTTCTTCCAACATTCGACCATCAAGTCGTAAATGTCCTTGCTGGCCACGGCAGGACGTGGAAGGAGCATATGTTGACCGTTGTCCCTTTGCATATGAGCAAGATTCTCCATCACCTGGGGGTCGGTCATGTTATCGTAAGGGTGCCTTCTGCAGAGAGTCAGAATTTCCCATAGGGTGACGGCGAACGCCCACACGTCACTTTTGGTGGTGTATTTGGCTTGGAACACTGACTCATGGGCCATCCACCGTATGGGCAATGGAGTGTTACCATCGACCTTGTAATAATCGTTCACATACAGTTCGTTATATGTTCCGAAATCACAAATTTTTATTTGATATGCTTTGCCAATCAGACAATTTCTCGTTGCTAAGTCACGATGTACGAAGTTAAGGGTTTCCAGGTATCTCATCCCAGAAGCTATTTGGGTGCCCATGTACAAGAGGCAGTTGAAGCTGAGGGTCTTCACCCCGTAAGGGGCCGTGGTACTGTTTTCGGCGGCTACGTGTGATTTCAAAAATTGACACAAGTCTCCGTGTTCCAAATATTCCATGATTACGCAAAGGGGATCTTCCTGGCTGCATATGCCAAGGACCCGGGCCAAATTTGGATCGTCTAAGGCAGCTAAAATCCTTACATCTCTGCAGAAATCTTTCCTGAAAAGAAACGATTTAATTCCAACTTGAGAATGTCTAAAATAATTTATTTACTTTTCTTTCTCAGATGCATTTTCCCCTAAGAATTTTATTGCCACTAATCTTTTGCCCAGAGATACAACAGACGAGTATTCGGATATACTGTCTGCTTCCGCAATATACACCTAAAAATAAATTATTATCTATTATTAAATTGAGAAGAATATCGTATTTGATACTGACCGTTCCAAAAGCACCTTCCGAAAGTTTCGACAACATTCGCAGTCGATGTCTTGGAAACTCAGCGATAGTTGTTTCTTCTAAACGTTTTCTTAATGCTAGAAGAGGCTCATGTTGCGAAGATAACTGAAAAATAACGAAAGGTTCAGACGTGTTGTAGCCCTAGAAAGAAAGGGTGAATTACTATTGTACCTTTCTACTATTCGCTTCCCCGTAGCTGCTATTTCTCGAATTCTTGGAACCGTTCGATGCTGTGCTATTGATTCTTGCTCTAGACACCAACGAATTCTTGTCGGAATTCAACAAAGGTAAAGTTCCAGTCTCAGGCACTGCATAATCGTATGTATCTAATGAATTAGCAAACATTAGCTGGCAAAATTCATCACATCACAGAGTTTCACAAATGTGGATGACAGATCATGGAATTGGAAACAGTTCTGATTAGTATGGAACGATGTTGGCTGATTGGAAACAACTGTATTGGTTTGAAAACGATTCTGGTCCATGAGGAACAATTGTGGGTCGTTAAGAAGAATTTAAGGTGGTTGCAAAACAACTAGGGTTGTTTAGGGATATTCTGGTTCATTGAGGACAATTTAGGGTAGATAGAAAACAACTCCGATTCATTGAGAACAATTTAGGGTGGTTGCAAAACAACTATGATTGTTTAGGAAAAATTTAGGTTCATTATGAACAAGTTAGAGTGGTTGGAAAACAACCATAATTGTTTAGGAACAGTTCTGGTTCATAAAGGACAATTTAGGGTGGTTGGAAAACAACTATGATTGTTTAGGAACAATTCTGGTTCATTAAGAACAATTTAGGATGTTTGGAAAACAACTATGATTGTTTAGGAACAATTCTAACTCGTTAAGAACAATTTAGAGTAGTTGCAAAACACCTATGAAACAATTTCGGTTCAACAAGAACAAGTTAGGGTGGTAGGAAAACAACAACAAGGTTTGTTGGGGACAATTTTGGTTCATTAGGAACGATTTAGGATGGATGAGAAACAACCATGATTGTTCAGGAATAACTTTGGTGGAGCAGAAGCAATTCTGGTAACTGGAAAGAATTGTGATGAATGGAAATCATTTGTTCTGGTTGATTGGAAGCAATTTCGGTTGATTAAGAAGAACTCTGGATGACTTGTAATAATTTACCTGAATGGGACTGGTTGAATTTCTTATCGGATATCACATCTTGCATCTCCATCACCACAGAACTGTAGCTGTAGTAGGGAGCGTATTTGAGGGCCTGATAGGGCTCCTGATAGTCGTTGCTCTCCGCATAGTTTTCCACAACGGGATGCGATAAAGGCAACGTGGACCTTAAACTAGATTTCATGGTTTCGTGACTTCTTCTACAATCATCTATTTCGGTAACACCGTAAGCTTCGATGGTGTTCCCTTTTTCGTGAATGCCGAACTCGGGCTGAAGATGAGGTAAGGTATTGGAAGGGAACCCAACATTCGAGGAATTGGGACTACGAAACAATTTTCTATTTCGATAACGATTAATTACAAAGAACACTAACAGTCCCAGGATTAAAATAATAAAGGCAAGGGCCACTAAGATGATTGTCAAATATGTGGGATCGTTCATGGTGTTCGAAGGTAATGGAATTTCGATTTTGTCATTGGGATATCTTTCAGACCGGGCGGTTTTTTGGGGTGGTATTGTTGTATTGGGGTCGGATTCGGCGGAGAAATTCCCATGGGCAATGACCGAATCGAACGATATTTCGCTTATCAAAATCCACCTGGCGCCAAAGAAGAGTTGTATTTTGACGAAACGTCCGACGCGATGGTGGAGCTTGATGGTAACATTTCTAGCATCCTCGAAGATCTTATCTTCTATATAATCAAACGTGATGGGTTCACCTTTGTACCTTTTACCGCCGATACTGAAGAAAACTTTGGCTTGGGAAAATATCTGCACGTCTTTGTTGAATTGATTGTTGCAATAAATATGAACAGCAGAAAATTCTCGCACTTTATCAAACTCGAATTTTATTTCGATGGGTTTCGTTAAATGGGTGTCGTTCTTCCATCCAACCCACAATTGACTGTTGTCGTTGAATGACTCTTTGAAGTCACTTCGTCCAAATTTTCCGTCCGTGAGCAGACCCAAACCATGCCTCAGTTCGTCTCCGTCCCAATGACCATCGTATGTGGCATCGTAAAATTCCCAATTCGACCCCCTTTTATCGCCCTGCGGCATGGAGTAACTGATTATACCATCCGTCCATCGACAACCATACAATTCCACCCGCATGCAGACGGTTCTTTGATGGTAGCTGTATGGATAAAAGCGGATTTTGCTCGCCCATATCGGAGGATCAAGATCGGTCTTTGATTCCAGGTACGTGTTGATATTCCCAGTAATAACCTTTAATTTGTAAAAAACAATTTCTAAAGGAGGTTGAAATTGAACAGAACATTGTAAAAAAGACATGAAACAATTCTGCACAATACAGTGGATTATGGACTGCATTGAAAAACAAAAATAGAAGTAAATATTAGCCGAAAGTTTTTTTCAATACAGCCAGGAAAACAAATTGAAAAGGACCATTAGAAACAAATGATTGTTCTTGGAAAATCTAGTCGACATTTTATGAAAAAACAACGGCCCATCTAACCAAGTACAGAGGCTTTCAAATTTACGAGTTTTTAGAGTCATTTTCTTTCTCTATCTAAATGTGAACATCAGACAAACGTTCGCTGTTTGTTTGGCAGAACAGTGCCAACTTTGCGATGGTATTTTCATTCGACAACGGGGCATTAGGCAGGTTCGAGCACGAAACATTAAAATGCAATCAGCATAAAAATTCACTCCATCTCGACCCTCATTAAGGTATTTTTCATATTTAATGTTGTGTGAGAATGGAGTTGGAATGCAATTTTCGTGTGCAATCGCTTTTGCCGATAACACGCAGGCAGCGTGGCGATGTGTGCAATTCGACCGTAGATATAATGCGTGATTGTGTTTATTGTTCGACGAATTAACATTCAGGGCTGCCGTAAATTAAATGACCTAAATGTGCTTTTGCCACAGGAAAAATGAGGTGAAATAGACTGATTTTAGCTGCAGTATAGACTCTATGTTGAATTTCACGGTATTTAAAGCCATCAAAATTAAAAAAAAAGCAAAATAAAATTATTTCCTATCTTCTTTTATAGAAATCAATAGTTGAATTTGATTAAGTGTAAAAATAAATTACTTCAAAGCCAATTTTAGCATTTCATAAAATACTTCATCATCCCAATTAGGGATTTCCTGTGACAATAAAAAACAAGAAGCAAACAAAATCCCCAAAAAGTTCTTTCTTCGCTTCTGAATGAAAATTTTCATCGTCAATAAAAGTGTAAGCTTCATTACAAATATAAAGAGATTTAAAAACAGTAAGAATCCAAGGAAAAGCGTACATTTCTCTTTAATTTTTCTCTTTTACAAATACTTTTCTAAACTTTCCCTCAAGGGAAAGAGCTCTAATTGGTGGAATTGTAACTTTGGCAATGAATGTCCAACAGTATAAACAATAAAACTGTTTCACAATTACGTAAAATTGAAGCGATTTATAAGTGGCATATTATATTTATTATTTGTGGCATAATTGGAATTAATTATCTTTACTAATTTCCAAAATAATTAGAATTTTATAGATGGAATTCTATTTACACATACGTTCATACACTAAAGTATGTATTCATGATAAATCCTACATCGACATAGGTTGTTTTTCTCCGATATGATACCGGTAATCGACATGTATTCGACATCATAAATAATTCATAATGCAAACATTATGCCTGCGAGCACGCCATCTCTCCCGAAGGAATTCCGGGACTAGAAAATGGAAATTTACGCGAGTAATTCTATCGCCCCGTGGAGTCCGACGAGGTGGCTACACCACATTTACCATACCAATTCTGTCGAGGTTTGTTTGTCTCCCATTTTTTGAACCGTTAAAAACTTTTCTTCCCATACATTCATACGTACCTATGTACTTATATACATATATATAAAAATGGAAGTTTTGTTTAGAAACTCGCTTAGCTTCACTTTTTATGTCAGAAACGATTTATGTGGTCATTAAAGTTTTCTTTCCAGGCAGCTTATGTTACTTTTATAGTTTACGGTTACCGCCTTTCACATTAATTAATAACTAAACAGTAATAAAAAATGTTGTTAGCTACATAAAACAAAGAAATATTCCCTGAATAATTACGAACATTGTGTCGACTAAAAAGCGCCACCTGTCTAGTGATGTTGGACGTAGGTTAGGCTAGGTAAAGTTAGACTAGTATACTTCGTTTACTTTCTGTAGCGATGTGACCTTCAGTTTGGCCGGCGCAACGTAGAAAAGAACAGCACTAGACCAGAAAAGAAAGGAGATAACTCTCGGCCAAACTCTTAACCGGTGAGGAGCGTATAATGCGTACAATACTGCACGGAAAAATTGACCATTTTATCCACTGCAATTGCATTACTCAAATGTGCTTTTATTGGTACCATTTACTACTGAAAATATCAACGAGATGTTTATTTATATTTGAAGACATATTAAAGGCCTTAACGCTTGTTTTCGACTCGCACTACTATTCATGATTGAACAAAACTTTTGGCAGGTACTGTATGAAAAATTATGTTTAATGAACAAGAGTCGACAGTATAATGAGCTTTTTTCTCCCTACCTACGATTTTGCCAGTGGCCATACAAGACATTGGAAGGGGCACATCGCTACAGAAAGTAAATGAAATATAATCATAAGGAAGTTCGAATTTTGTTTCAAGCAATAGGTCCGTGTGAAATAATATTAGTTGGGCAATCAAAACAGCGTGGATAGAACCAAAAACATTTTACAAAACGATTTAGTTGATGAATTATTATCGAATCTAGTTAATGGTGAGCTGATGAGATCGAAATCGCAAACCATGTCTGTTGTTTTTTTAAAATTATTTTTATACAGTAATGGATTAAACAAATTATGAATATTCGTAATATTTCATAAGACACGCGATTCAAATTTGCATTTGTCAAGTTTTTATTTATTTGGCTTTTTAACATTATTTATCAACCCTGCTTAAGTGTTTTATTTTATCAAACCATCTTCCCAGATATGTCAAATTCAAGCACGCACATTTTGTATTGTTATGTGACAGAATTGCGTGCAATCGTTGTTGTTCTGCTACAAACGCGGTTTTTTTTCTGTTCTTTCAAAAAATCTTAATTGAACAAACAAAGAAATTCGCATTCGTCCAAATTGTACAACGCCGACAGGAATATTTCAAGCAGGGCATCTAGCTATCGTCCTTTGGTCCGACTTTTAAGAATTCCGTCCATTCTCCCTCGAATCCTTGTCCATTTTTCTCTGCTTTCATCATTTCTTTTGATATTGAGTCACGCAACTTGGTTGCAAAAAGAATACAGACTTTCGAGAAGCTTTCACGTTATTCGTCGAGTGCGTCTCTTTCGTATTCTGTTGTAACTCAACATTTTCGACTTTTTTTGGGCAAAAAAGTTTCCTTTATTAACTGAACTGGAAAACATCAGTAACAAACAATATTGTGTTTACTTATTTTTTCATTCTCATAAATGTTTTTTAATATACACTGTGTCAACTACATAATTTGATTTAGCTACAGTGTAAACTCTATATAACGACACTTGAGGGACTGAACATTTTTGGGCGTTATAAAGAGTGGTCGTTATATGAAGAGATATAAAAGATATTATTTTACTATTCTATAATAATATGCATTTACCAATATAGTACACATTTTGCACACGAACATTATTATTCATACATTGCGTATAGCCTGTTATCTTCGTCTGATGTTTTTTGCTGCTCCAATATTTTAATTGTATTTTGTTACGTATCTTACTCATATCTTGAGATACTGCTGGATCAATTTGATTATATAAAAAGTATTTTTTTAATAGTTTCGCTGCATCAAGTGCTTGTTTGATGCTTCGTGGAGGGACAGGATCGCCTTCTTCAACAACATATACAGCTGCAGTTCTTATCTATTTCGGCAACTTAGAAAGTACTGCTCAATGATTTCTAATACCGCATTGTTGTCGTTAAATAGAGTGAGCGTGACGCTGTATAGAGTGTAATATTTTATAGAAAACAATGTAAACTAACCAAAGTCAAGCAATTTCGACGTTTTAAGGAGTTTGTCGTTAAATCGACTGACGTTATAAAGAGTTTACACTGTACGTCCTTTTATTTTCCAAAGTGACTTTAGAAACAACAATGGATAAAAAGGAACAAAAACACCTGAACTAACTGTGACCGGAATGGGCAAAATAAAATGTAAATTTAGAGACAAATGTTCTAAATTGTTTGTGAAAGTTTTCGTTTTAGTTGTGGAGTCAGCCAGCCAGTTAGCACACAGGTTCATTTCAACTTGTCTTCAGTTGAACAAAGCGAGTTACATGTAAATTGGTTTACTAGAAACTTTCCACGCTATCCCTAAACTCTATTTCCGTTAAACGAATTTAAGTTCTCCACAAAAAAATAACGAAAAGTGGATCACCTCATCACTCGCAAGTATTTTGTTAGCTTGATACTCATGTAAGCGACAACAGTGGATTAAAAGTAGTAATGCCATCCACGCAGAAAGGAATGTACACCAGTGTCTAGATCCTATCATGTGGTCTACTAGCTTATCCTGACCTAACTACAATTAGTAGCAAATGTCTATGTACAAATGGGTTTACAACTGTTTCTATCGTTAACCAGAAGCATGTTCACGTCAGGTTGGCAACCGTGCATATGGACGCCTACAAGTTCGAAATCGCATTTTTCATAATTTGTCTGTAATTGTTTCACAGTAAAATACCAAAGAAAAGAGTGAATATAATTATGGATATCTAATACATTAGTCTCTTAGCTTACTGCTTTCTATTTGAAATACATATATGTACTGTAATTATCACGTAATTTACAATGCTGTCGTATCATGAACGAAATACACATATCTACAATAAAAATTCAATTTATTATTAAAATGAGGACTGTGCGAAGTGAAATGACAAGTTTGCCGAGAATTAAACTTCCTGAAAGTTTTTAAATACAGGTAAATTTTACTACCTAGTAGTTGAGTTTCATTCGTTATCAATGTAGCTAGTTACATATACAGGCATACATTATAAATTTTACACACTCGTACACATTTACACAGGTACGAGCACGCGGCCATAAGTAATGTAACTCATGCGAAAGTCCTAATTTTCTAAAGACACGCAACGTCTGTGCCAGCAGTCTATTAGGCGCCCTTTTGCTAGTTACGTACTCTCTATCTCACTCTATTACTCAGTTTTTATTTCACTTCGGCCATCTTTTCTTTCACGCGTCACCTGTTCGCCCTTTAGGCGTCGG